CACCTCTCTGGGCTTCAACATCTTTGTAAATTAGTGGCAATACATTATTTAACAAGATAGTAATGAAGATTAAATGATATAACTAACAGTGCTAGAACATAGAGGGTGCTCATAAATAATAGTTTCCTTTCTTTGAACTCTCAGAGCCCTTTATCTGAGCTTTCAGCCATGCATTATAAGTATTTGTGCTATTCATTCATTCATTTATTCAACAAATGTTTAATTGAATATGAAGGCCATAAGTGTTATGAAGAAAACTAAAGCAAGATAGGGGAGGAAGAGAGTGTGTGTTGTATTGCTAGTTTCTTTAGGGTGGTTCACTGATAAGGGGTCATTTAGGCAGATAGCTGAGAGAGTGAGCCCTGTAGATATCAGCGAAGAATACTGGGGCAAGAGCAGAGTCCCTGAGGCAGAAACATGCTGGTGTGTTTGAGGAAAAGCAAGGAAGCCAAGGTGGCAGATCAGAGTGAGCAAGAGAGGGAGGGAGTAAGAGCAGAGAACTACCAGGGACCACATCACATGAGGACTTTGTAGACTGTGGTAAAGACTCCTTTGTTTCTTGGTGAGGTGGGAAGACAATGGAGAGTGTTGAGCAGAAGAGTGAAAGAACTGACATCGGTTTTTGGTTTTAAAAGGATCCCTTTGGCCTCTGTGTCCTGTGCCATTGACTGTACACAGGGTAGAAGTAGGGAGATTAATTAGTAGGTCATTGAGGTAATCCAGGCGAGAGATAATCTGGCTTGGACCAGGAAGGCCAATGGAGGTAGAAAGAATCATCAGATTCTGAATATATATTGATTTGAAGGTAGACCCAAGAGTACTTCTGGGGTATTAGAGAAGGAGCTAATGCCAAGGGTTTTGCCTGGGGACTGAAGATGGAGTTTCCATCACTGAGATAAGCAAATCTATGGGAAAAGCAGTTTGGGTGGGTGGAGTGGGAACTAGGAATTTGGGTTTGTATTTACCATTTCCCATGCTCTTCATTTGTTTCCAATGATTCGAATTTCCCTCTTGTATTATTTTTCTTTAGCCTGAGAACTTTCTTTAGCATTTTTTTGCAGTGAAGATCTGCTAATGGTGAATTCTTTTAGTTTTCCTTTATCTGGAAATTTCTTTATTTTACTTTCAGTTTTGAAGGATAATTTTGCTGGATATCGAATTCTGGGTTGAAAGCTTTTACTTTCAGTTCTTTAGAGATATTTGTCCACTGGTTTCTTTTCTTTTCCTTTTTTCAGCTTTTTAATGTATAACTGACAAAATTGTAAGACATTTAAAGTGTACAACATGATGATTTGATATATGTATACATTATGAAAGGATTCCCCCTATCAAGTTAATTAACATATCCATCACCTTGCATATTTACCTTTTTTGTGTGTGAGGGGATGGTGAGAACATTTAAATTCTCCTCTCTTAGAAAATGTCAATTAGGGCTGGCCCGGTGGCTTAGTGATTAAGTGCGCACGCTCCGCTGCTGGCGGCCCAGGTTTGGATCCCGGGCGTGCACTGATGCACCGCTTCTCCGGCCATGCTGAGGCTGCGTCCCATGTACAGCAACTAGAAGGATGTGCAGCTATGATGTACAACTATCTACTGGGGCTTTGGGGGGAAAATAAAAAAAAAGAAAGAAAATGTCAATTATACAATATAGTGTTATTGACTTTAGTCATCCAGCTGTAAATTAGATCTTCAGACCTTATTCATCTTTGTTCTCTTTTGCCAACCTATTTCCCCCCTCTCTAGCTCCTGGCAACCACTTTTCTACTCTCTGTTTCTATGAGTTCAACCCTTTTTTTTAGATTCCACATATAAGTGATACCATGTAGTATTTATCTTTCTCTGTCTGGCTTATTTCACTTACCATAATGACCTCTAGGTTCATCCACCTTGTTGCAAGTGACAGGATTTCCTTCTTTTTTAAGGCTGAACAATATTCCATTGTATGTATATACCACATTTTCTTTATCCAATCATCTGTTGATGGACACAGGTTATTTTCATACATTGGCTATTGTAAAGAATGCTGCAATGAACATGTGAGTACAGATATCACTTCAAGATGATGGTTTCATTTCCTTCAGAAGTGGAATTGCTGGATCATATGGTAGTTCTATTTTTAATTTCTTGAGGACCTTCCATACAGTTTTCCATAGTGGCTGCACCAATTTACATTCCTACCAACGTGCACAAGTGTTCCCTTTTCTCCACATCCTCACCAGCATTTTTCTCTTGTCTTTTTGATAATAGCCATTCTAACAGGTGCGAGGTGATAGCTCATTGTGGTTTTGATTTGCATTTCCCTGATGATTAGTGATGTTCACAACTTTTCATGTACTTTTGGCCATTTGTATGTCTTTTTTTGGAAAAATGTCTATTCAGGTCTTTTGCTCATTTTAATTGTTTTTCTTTTTTTTCCCCGCTATTGAGTTGTATGAAATTCCTTGTATATTTTGGATATTAACCCCTTATTGAATTTTGGCCTCTGTTGTTTCTGATGAGAAGTCAGGGTCATTTGAGTTATTTTCTCCCCTATATGTAATATATCTCTTTTCACTGACTGCTTTCAAGATTTTCTCTTTATCTTTGGTTTTTAGCAGTTTGACTACAATGTGCCTAAGGGAAGTTTTCTTTGTCTGTATCCTGCTTGGGGTATGCTGGGCTTCTTGAATCTGTAAATTCATGTTTTCCACCAAATTTGGGGAAAATTTTAGCTATTACCTCTTCAATTTTTTTTTTCTGCCCAATAGTCTCTCCCCTTTCCTTTTGGGATTCCAGTTACACACATTGGACATTTTGATGTTTCTTAGCCCTCTGAGACTCTCTTCCCTTTTTTCCCACTGTTTTTTTCTCTTTGTTCTTCAGATGAGATACTTTCTACTGATCTAACTTCTAGGTCATTGACTCTTTCTCCTATTGAGCCTATCCAGTGAATTTTTTTATTTCAAATGTTGTTTTTTTCAGTTCTAGAATTTCCACTTAGTTTTTTAAAAATAGAGTTCATTTCTCTGCTGAGGTTTCCTATTTTTTCGTTTGTTGCAAACATATACTCTCTTCCCTCGTGAAGCATAGTCATAACAGCTACTTTAAAGTTGTGATCTGCTAATTCCCGCCTCTGGGTCATCTCACAATCAGTCTCTGTTGATCCTCTTTTCTCTTGAGTATTGGTCACATTTTCCATTTTCTTTGTGTGTCAAGTAATTTTAGGGTATTCTGGACATTGTCATCTTTAAGTTGTGGAGACTCTGGGTTCTGTGACATAGCTCCCCCCAAATGTGGATTTGTTTGTTTGATTGTTTTAGCAGGCAATTAACTTGATTGAATCAAACTGTGAACTGTCTCTTGGGCCACAGTATAAATCTCAGTTTAGTTCTTTTATTCTTGTCTGGGCCTCTTAATCCTGCCTCATGTATGTGTGGTTCAGCAATTGGCCAGATATTTGGACAGAGCTTGTACAGAATGTGTGGTTCTTCCTTTCTGGGTCTCTCTTTTCCTGGATTCTGTCCCTCATTTTCCAAAGGCTGGGGTTGCCTCAAACTCTATTCTTTGATTCTTCAGGCCAGAAGGACTTCAGATTTTCTATCATTTTATCTTCCCTGTGTGACCCTGCTGTGGCCTGCTTTCAGGCTAAAAGTCATAAAAAACGGGAAAGTCATCCCAGGCATTCACTTTTTCCAAGTGTTGACTCCTCTCCAGAAACTCCCTTATTTGTTCACTCTCCAGGGCCTTCAGGTAGTTGTTTTTCATATTTTGTTTCATAGTTCTTATCTGCAGGAGTTTGTTTGGGAGTTTTTCCAGGTGCTTAATGAGCTGCCCTGGAAACAGAATTGTCAGGAGTTTTGTTTTAGACACATTAAGTTTGAGATGTCCATTAGACATCCACATGGAGATGTTCACTAGCCAGTTGGATATGCACCCGGGTTTCGGAGAGAAATCATTGAACATTTGGCAGGCTCTAGATGGTCTATATAGTCCTGGGAGTGGGTGAAATTAACCAAGATGTGAGTCTACCCATAGAAGAGAAACAGGCCCAGAACCAAACCCAGGTGTACTCCAGGGTTTAAAGATCAGCACGATGAGGAAGAATTAGCAGAGCAGATCAATGAAGAGTGGACAATGAGGAAAGAGAAAAACCAAGAGTGTTGTCTTGAAGTCCAAGTGAAGAAAGTATTTCAAAAAAAGGCAGAGTAGTCAGCTCTATCAAATGCTGCTGATAGATTAAGATGAAGATTAAAAATTGACTTCTGGATTTAGCAACTTGTAGGTCATTGGTGAATCAAAGAATAACTGTTTTGTTCAAGTGGTGGAGTCAGAACTCACTGAAATGAAGAATTGGAGTCTAGGAGCATGGAGAAATCTTTCAAGGAATTTTACCATCAAAGAGAGAAGAAAAATGGGATTGAAGCTGGAGGGCAATATGAAGTCAAGAGAAGTTTTGTGTTGATTTTTGACATTGGGAAAAATTATACCATGTTGGTATGCTAAAGTAGGGAATAGTTGAGAGGGAATAATCGGTGTATTGAGAGACAGGGAACGGGATTCTGTGCAAAGGGAGAGTTGGCCTTAGATGGAATCATGAGCTGCTCATTCATAGCAACTGGAGGCAAGTAGAGAAGCTGTTGCACATTAGATGTGATGAGAGTGGGGAGGACTGTCATGAGAGGACCCAGAATAGGGGAAAGTCAAAGCAGCAGCCGGCAAAATAAATCCCCATTATGTTTTTAGCCAGTTTGTGCTGGATTTTGTGTTGCTTAGAACAAAAATCATCCTAAATGATAAATACAGTTGTTATAAATCTTCCAAAAATCAGTCATCATAGACCAGAGGATTATTATTTACAAGAAATGACTACAAGGTAATTAACCTTCATTTTAATACACAGATAAGTTCTGAGTCCAAATGGGTTTTGCCATTCTTTCAATAACTTCTGGGAGACTATTCCAAAGACTATTGCCACACCACAAAATATCTTTGGACTCTGTTTTGTTTTAAATTTCTTTTAAAATCTGAGTTACGTGTTTTGAATACCCTCAAAGATGACAAATCTTGGCCTTTCGTTGGTGGATTTGGTGTTGGAAATAGACAAAAACTAGTTGGCGTTGAGTCTAACAAATGCCTTTTTAGGTCAAAACTTGTTCCACAGAAGCCCAGTCTAATCTGGAGCCTGAGCATAGAAAAGAAAACAGACTTGGTCCTTGTGGAGTAAAAGTCATCTCTTGGATTCCTCTTGGTAGGCCTGACCGTTCAACCTTGTGGAATATTTTCAGCAGAAAACATACTGCTGATGTCAAGGAAAACAGTCGATGTCAACCTCATTTCTGACATGCAGGAAGTTAAATTTTCTACTTCAGGGCTGTATTTCGAAATCTCAGTGGAGACACTGATCATCACTCAGACGTGTGTGACGCAAGAGAGCCATGGAAGTGTCTCCTCTTCTCACTTATCCTTTACAGTGCGGCTGCATCTTTAGCTAAACTAAAGTCACCAGTAGGCATTTGGACTGTTAATTTTCCTGAAAACTTTGTGTTCTTCCGAAGAAACTACTCAAGCAGTGTTTGGAAGTGTGGAATGAGAACTAGACTAGGAATCAGTAAACAAGGGCTCAGTTTTGGCTCTTCCATTTATTAGCCATGTCACCTTGGATGAGAAACTCATTTGAGCAGCAATTTCCTCATCTGTAAATAATAGTAATTCATAGTCTACCCCACGAGATTAAAAGGGGAAAGGTTTAGAAAAGCTCCTAGCAGCGTGTAGTAAAGGAGTCATCTTGCTCAGGTTTGAATTCTGGCTCTAGGATACTAGCTGTGTGACCTCAGGCAAGTTACTTAGCCACTCTATGCCTCAATTTCAGTGTAAAACAGAGATAATAACAATATCCACCTCATAGATTTTATATCAATCAGGGTTTAGTGCAGAAAGCAGCAGAGGAACAGTTTCTGCCTTCCTCCCACATTCCAAAACTTGAGCAAGTGCCTCTGACCGGTGGAAGCTAATTCATATGAAGAGCCTCAGCCACAAGCTGATTTCTGGTCTCTGCAGTAGGAATGTGCCGAGGAGGAGGAGGGTGGGATGGGGGCTGTGGAAGCCAATCCACACACACCAACCAGATTCCCATGAGGTTGAAATGAGATGATGTATCTAAGGGCTTAGTGAGTGTTCAATAGATGTCAGCCATGGTTACTTTTAGCACATAGCTGGTGCTTGAAACGTGTTTGTTTATTTGTTCAGAGTGGACCAGAATATAATCTACTCTGTCTACACAAAAAGCAGCCCTTTACCTCCACTTATTATGGACCAGGTTTTCCCACTACACACCACATGTCTGAGTCTTCCTATTTCAATCAATATCATTCAGGCTTTAGACACAAGTGTCTGGTCTGTTGTGGACCATTGCTGCCCTTCGTTTCACTTAACTGAGAAAACTACTAAATGATTTGAGATAACATGTATAGAATATTCTGACTGTCTCTGGAGGGATACTTAGGAAACTGATGATACTGGTTTCCAATGCTGTGTGGGGGCAGGTGGGGGGTTGGTTGAGTAGGGAAGAGAAAGGAGGGAGACGTGCATTTCACTCACAGTGAGAAGGGTCTACATTTTTTTGTTCCTTTGAATTTTGTAATGTGTCCATATGTTACCTATTCCCAAAAAACTGTAGAAAAATTTGAGTTTTGGAAGCATTTGCTGATTTATTCTTGGCATTTGACTTCAAGACAAACTCATCCTAGGATCAAGCTACGTGAGCCATATAGTCTCCTGGCTTTTAATCCCCATTGAAGGCACTCACCATGAATCAGAGTGGGTAGAAATGGGCTTATGACAGGACAAGTTCCAACGTGAAAGGCAAAAGGCGTTGTCTAACTCGCCCCAGCTGCAGTTCTTGTAAAGTGACATCCGAACCACCTGCTCCAGCCCTTAGGTGAGCGACGGCAGAGTACTTCTGCTGTACAAAACTGATGGCCGGGGTGTCTTCCAGGAGGGTCCTTAAGGAGCAGCTGCTCCTGGCGGCCAGTTACTGCAGGGAGAACAGCCCAACACAGCTCTGCGACAGGCCACACCATTGTTCTTGCTTTGGTCAGTTCCTTCAGTTTGCAGATAATAGTAAATAAACCTGTTCAACAGGTTAAGTAATTCAGGAGCCTGGGGGAAGGTCGTATGGACTATGCAGCTAATTCTGTGCCATAACCCAGGCACCCAGGCAGTCTTGGGTGAAAGGCATCCAGGGGCTGAGATGGAAGGTTCGAGGGAACAGATCTGGTCATGGGCAAACTCCAGAGGCATGATGGGTGCAGAAGCCTCTGGTTCAATCCTGAGGTGAGGTGAGGAGTGTGGTCAATATGAAAGTGTCAAGATGGTGGCTGTCATCATGGAGAGGTGTGTCTACAAGTGGCAGGACACTCAGGGGAATGATCTCATTCTAGAAGATTGACAGCATCTTCTTAAGGAAGGTCTGGGATCTGCCTGTGCCTTCTGCTGCTGCCTCCTTTATCTGAAAATGGAGCCCATCAGAGGCTGGTTCCGGACCTGGCTGTCACCTTGTTCCAGTCAGGACTATACTTGGTTGCCATCTTGCTCTGAGCCTGACCAGATAAAATTAATCTGAGACAAGATTTGGCCCATGGAACAGGGCTGCTCCCACTGTCTCTAGTAGCTTTCAAACTTTTTTTCACCAATTTTACATCATAATTTAGTGCGCACACACATGGTATGTATACTCACACATTATTGAAACAAAACTTTAATGAAACGGTTTGAACTAACGACTTGTGATGTACTCTGATATTTTTCTATTGTTATTTTTTTTAATGCTAGTTACAACCAACCAAATTGATTTCATAACTCACTAATGGGTTCTAACCAGTAGTTTGGAAAACACCACTCTAACCATAGAAGCTAATCAGCTCTGGTCTGTCTGATTCTCACAGGATGGTGAGCTGCACAAGGGCCCGAGGAGTCTCATAACAATTGATTACCTGGACGTATCTATCCGTTCCCATAGATTTGCATACATGAACTTCAGAGCACATTTATGTAAATGTACACTTTGTCCTCCTCGACCTAACCTCAAACAGACTCACTTTTCTGCCCACTGAGAGCCATAGGGCTGAACTCTCCACTTCATTCCTTGGTTCTCTGGTCTATTACACACAGCACTCGACCTTGCCCCACTCAGTCCTTTGGGAGTTAAAATATTTGAATCAAAGATTGTCAGGGGTGAAAGAGACCTGAAGAATCATTTAATACAACCACCCCTTTGATGCTTCTCAGTCTCCAGTCTCTGCTTGCATTCCTCCAGAGACAGAGAGCTCACTACTTACTGAGGCAGCCCCTTCCATCTTTGTACAACAATGATTAAAACAAAATTGGTCTTCCAGTGGCTTCCATTTCTTAGTTTTTGTGTCAAAATTAGTGAGTCAATGTGTATTCTTAGAACAATGCCTGGCACAGAGTAAGCACTAGATAAAGATTTCTCCCTAGTATTATTAGTAGTGGCTGTCTTCATGTAGTAACGGTAGTAATTAATCTCACTGTTTGCTCACATGACCACCCTTCTATGTTCAAAGGAGGGAATCACATTGCCTGGGTCTTCTCTTTTCTCTGCTAAACATCCCCAGTTCAGTCCCTCCTTCCTGGCATAGTGTGGTTTCCTGACCCTTCATATCCAGCTTGCTGTCCTCCTGATGTAGGCTGGTCTCTACAGGTTGATGCTTCTCTGAAAGTGCAAGCCTTCAGAGTTGGACACTAGACTCCTCATGCGGGGCACCAGGGCAGAGAACAGACACTCATCTCCTGTGACCTGAGTGCTTGGTGGCTAATAAGGCTGCCCAAGATGATAAATAGCTCACTCAGAGCAGAGAGAGGCCCACAAGCACAAATATTGGAGGAGTGGGAGGGGGGCATCCCTCCCTGCAGAGCACAGTGCGGGGGGCGGGAATTAACAAGCTGGCATTGGGGAAGGAATCAGGCCTGCAGGAATATGGACAGCCCCCTCAGGAAGAGCTAAATATCCAATGGCTGCAGAAGTATCTCAGACTCAGATAGCTACAGGAAGAGGAGGGAGTGGTGGGCCTGTGATGAGCTTGGGCCATACACGCTCCATCTAAGGGAGGAAGCATTTACTCTGCTCAAGCCAGTTATTGTCATGCAGGAATATGGCCTTCGTGTTTCTAGATCATGCGCATTTTCAAAAGAAGCCAGAAATATGAAGTTTTAAATATAGAATCATCCCATTTTAAAATGTCAGCTAATTCAAAATTTTTTTCAAAAATTGTGTGAAGCAACAGTGTCCAGGCTAAACCAAACCACTAAACCCTCTATTCTCCTTTTGGACCTCTGTTCTCTGCCTGTAGAGGTCAGGGGCTGGGGATGGGTGACCCCAGGTGACTGGCCACCCACCTTTGACTCTAGTCTCTCCAAACAGTTCTCAAGTCCCTGCTGCACCCAGGGCCAAATTTGGCAAAACAGCTCTGTTATCTGAACAGCCAGAGGGAGCTTGCCTGAGTCTCACACTAGTGTTTTCTGGGCAGGCGGAGAGAGCCATGGAGCCTGGAATACCACATGCTGCATGGCCGTAGGCTTAAGTGGCATCCAATCCCCGCCCCCACCACCACTACAGGGAAAGGAACATTATGACTTGTAAAGTATCTACCGGCTTGCTGGAAGAGGAGGATATCAGGCTTTCCTTGGCCTCTGGCTTCCCAAGTGACTTCAAACTCTCCTTCCCAATGACTGTTTGCTTATCTCTTTGCAAAGTAGTGAACCAAATGTGTTTGTGTGTTTTCAGATGTAAAACACGAAGTGACAGGGCAAAAATGTAGTTGCTTATAAAACTTTAGGTTCATTATGGGATCCACAGAATCAGACTTTTAGAGCAAGAAGGGGCCTTTCAACCAGCTAGCCAGCCAAATAAGGTAAACTGAGGCAGAGGGTAATTTGCCTAAAGTCTTGCTGCTGGTTCACTGGCTCTTCTATTTCAGGAAATCCTCCCAGTGCCTTGGGAAAATGAACTACAGCTGCCCCTCACCCCATCCCACCCACTCACGCACCACACAGCTGGCCTGAGCAACTCAGCTGAGAGATAGTATTGTATCTTATGCAAAATATAAATTTTGCATAAAATATTAGTAAAATGTTTGATATTATTTTATTGTAAAACATTAATAAAAATTTTAATAAATATTACACACAATGCACGAAATACTGTGAGTTTCCAAAAGTTTTAAAAATTCTTCACAAGCTGCATAATTTGAAACTTGGCCCACCAAGTGAATTGTAAACTGTTTATGTTATTGCCACATGGTTAACACAACTTTAGCTAGTAAACAGAAACCACTACCATACGTTGTCAGGATTGGTTTTAATTTACATGAGCTTTAAAATGTGCAGGTTTTCAAAATGCATCTTTCACATAAAATGAATGGCCTGGCACTCCACTGAACAGGTGTTATTGTTCTCCCAAATGGATGAAAGCTGCTCTGGCCTGAGAGCTCTTGGTGATATGGGAGACATTGCAGCCTGCCTTCCCAACATTTCTACTTTGTGAGTAGAATCCCAGTTTTGTTTAGCTATTGGTCAACGATATGCTCACGGAGCCCTAAGAGGTGAGTCGTGCTTGGTCCTGGCCAGTCATGATAATCCCATCTGCTTTGCCAATGATTAGTTTAGGAGTGGTAATGGTGTGACCTAGTTCTGCCTAGTGAGACCTGAGGAGGAGTCAGCTGGAGACCTCTGAGAAAGATTTCCTCTGACAAAAACAGACACACACCAAAAAAGCTGCATTTTCTTCCTACCTTTGGACACTATTATGTAAAGATGGGATGCTTGGAGGTGTGGTAGCCATTTTGCAACCATGAGGGAAAGCAAAGAGAATCATAGAGAATACCTACCACGTGCCAAGCTGAAACACGTGTTTCATGGTAACAATAAACAGACAAAGAAGAAAAAGACGTAGGCACAGAAAGATGAGGAACATAGAGCCAGACCTCCCAGCAAGTCAGGACTAATGCTGGGATGACATTGGGCTCCCACTCTTTGTCCCTGAGCTCTTTCTCCCACGCTAGGGTTGTGAAAGAAATGCATGTACTTGGAGTGGGAGCAGAAGACTTAGAAGGTGTGGGGATGTGGGGGACCCAGAGTGTCCTTTGCACACCGAGGGGAGTGTTTGGGACACTCCCACAACTGCCATTTACCACAGCAAGTGTGCTCTGGAGAAGACCAAGTGTTCATTGTGCCCCACAGGTGTGTATGGAGTTGTGTGATAATGTGGAACTCCCTCTGGGAAATTAAGCCATTCATCAATTCACTCAGTCATTTTACTAATTGGCAACATGCTAACTTTAGCCCCCACCCTGTGTTGCTTCTTTAGAGGATGCAAAGAAGCAGAACGCAGGCCTGCTGCCTCTTCGGAGCTTGCAGTCCTGGATAGGGAGAGGAACTGTGCCCGCAAATAATTAGGAACCCAGATAGGACCAATCAAATACCAGGTGAAGGGACCAGGCAGACAAGACTTGGGGGTTCGGAGAGGGGAATGGTCCCTGGGACCTGGGCAATCAGGAAGGACTCCAGGGAGGTGAAGGGCAAGAAGAGGAAGGAGTCAGATGGTGGAGGTGTGGGGCCTGGAAGACGGGGAGAATGGAGACTCTCAGACAGAGTCTGGGACGTCAGGAAAATGAGCCTTCGTCTTACTTCTTCCTTGCACCCATGGGGGAAGTTTACATTCTAGGTGTTAATCTACATTCTAATTCACGGCTTCATTCATTTCAACACATTCTTATTGAGCAGCTGCTGGCCATTGGGGCTATAGAGAGGCAAATCCCTCATGGAGCTCTGCGTCTGTGTTGAAGCAGACCTGTGATCTGCCAAAGACTGGGGAAAAGTGCTGTTACAGGGGGAGACACAGGGCGCCACCAGGCCCAGCCAAAGGAGGGACACCAAGGAGGGTGGAGGAATGGCAAAGTGGTTTTTCAGGGACACAGATGGAAATTTAACCTGGGGTTCTGGGAAATCCTCCAGGCTAGGGAGGCTGACGACCTGCTGATTAACTCATCCCTGACTCAACTTTCCAGTAAGGTCCAGTCGCCTTGGACAAGAGCTCACCCTTGTCTCTTTGTGTGGATGACACTCCTGATTGGTCTGATCATGTTAGTCTTTCGTCCCAGAGGAAGGGGGCTGAATACGGAGAAACTCTTCTTCACCATCCTGAGCAGATTCTTTTTGCTTTACGTTGTATGGAATCTGAACTAGACACCTTTTGTCCTGGGGCGAGGAAGGGTGTGACAGGATGGTGTGAGCCCATCCTCCCTCACATGTTCCTTTGTAGGCAGAGCTTGAAGGTTGCTGGGAGGAGGTGGCAGTTGTCCAGTGGCCCTGAGCTGCCTCAGGAGCCTGCCTCCTACTCATCAACGCTAACATCTGTAATGGATGGAGGTGGCTCCATCTGAGATCAACCGGTGGGAGAGACCATCAGGGGCCTTGAAAAGGAAACCCCCTGAATGTGGCATTCTATTTTCACAGTACAAAGAGATGAGACCATGTTGAGTGGCCAAGCTGGTGAGGCAGGATCCATTGGGACACAGCTTCTTTGGCCTTTGTTGGGGGTCATCTCTGCTCAGCTAGGCCCATTCCTGCCCAAGGTCATTGTGCTGGAGGGACAGAAGGAACCAGGAAGTGGCCAAAGTGGTCCAATGCACTGAGACGAGGTGTGGGAGGAGACGGTGAGCTGGTCTTGAGGTCAGAATGCAGGTGCTGACCTTGTTGGCTGCGGGGCATCTCCAGCCACAGGTAGTTGTTTTTCCCAGGATGAGTCATGAAGGTCCATCAACAGTTTCCATCTCCCTTCAACAAATACCTTTTGTGTAAGACCCAAAGGGGTTCAACAGGAGTTCCTGCTTTAGAGGAGTTTGCTACCTATTAGAGACTGCCAATTTGGGTGCTGACAGAGACCCAAATTGTTCTAGAGCTTCAAAGGAGGGTGAGCTCACAGGATCATAGCTGGTGGGAGGGGACTGGAAACAAGCTCCAATAGTGAACATTCCTGAGTCCCTGCCAGGAGCCAGGTGCTACACTGAGTACTTTATATCCCTGATTTCATTTATTCCTCACCTCTCTGAGGTACGGATCATCCTCTTCTTTTATAGATGGGGAAACAGGCTCACAAGACGTAAAGCAACTTTTCCAGGGGCACAGAGCTGGGAAGTGGCCAAGCAGAGATTAAGGTCAGATGTCTCTGACTCCCAAGTGCATAGTCATTTGCATTGTGCTTGGCTGCCACATGAGACAGATGGGCTTGGAGATGAGTCTGGAGGGTGGGAAGGAACGTGTCAGATGAAGACAGGAGGAAGGCATTCCAGGCTGAAGGAATAGCCTGAGCAAAGATGCGGAGGCAGCGTGGTACCAGACATGTGTGGTTTAGCTCGAGGGGAATCTTCTAGGGTGAGGCCAGAAGGGAAAGTTCAGGCTCATTGTGGAAGGCCTTGAGGGTCTAGGCTAGGGGCTTGTGCCCCTTTCAGAGACCACAGGAATCACTGGTGGAGGGAAGAGGCCCATTCTGGCAGCACTAAGGAAAAGCCCAAGGATAAGAGAGGAGGTGATGACAGAGAAGGGAAGAAGCAAACTAAGACGGTGGAGGCAGGAGGGCATGCTGGAGAGTGGGCTGGAGGCAGGAGGAAAAGGGGAGGAGTTGCCTCCCTTGTGTGG